TACTAGAACACTGCTTGCGTGTCCATATTTACAAGAGATGACAATTATGCATATTAATTGGGTCACATGACCATATATGGTCGTGTGGTATTTCAGACATATCCCTTTACTATAACACTGATTCCGTGTCTATATCTACAAGAGTGTTTGAGATATGACAATTATGCATAGTAATGGGGTAACATGACCACATATGGTTATCCGATATATGTATCTGTTGTCCAATCCCTTCATTATAACACAGATTGCAAGTTCCTATATGCAACAGTCATGAAATACTACAGTTATGCATATTAATGAGGTCACATGAGGAAACATGAGGACGCCCACCCGACCTCCCAATCCATCACCACTATTATTGTTAATGATTATTTGTTCCTAAAATGAATTTTCAATTTGAAAAAAAACACAAATTCCTAGTGTTATTTCCCTACATAGGTGCATTGACATTCACTATAGAGATCATATTAGAGACCCTCCCCTTCCTCATGATTCATTGAAGAGTAAAAAAATCTTCTTTTCTAAAACGGTTCATTGTCTTGGGCTGCGATTTTGAAAATAAATACTATGTCAGTTGCTCTTTCAAAGCTATTAAGGGATAGTGGATTAGTCGAAAATTATGCAAATGAGATACAAAACAAAATTTCATTCAAAGATTGCTACCGGGTCATGTGACCTGTGTGCCTGATTTTAGGATATGCATCAAAACTCGTGGGAAACCATGGAAACCCTAATAATAGTCTTGTTCCATTTCCCCTATTCATTTTGCCGATTGTTTATATTAGTTAGTATGCATGTTTATTCTATAGTTTGAAGAAACGTATCTTCAGGATGCAGCACACGTGAAAAGATTGCGTCAAGGTTTGTGCTCTGTTTATTTTTTTGTTCATTTACGATTCACACTTTGCATACATTAACTGTATACTATTATAACACTCCGCTACAAACAGTATACATAATGTAAATGTGAATAACAATAGGGGAAAAATCGATCACGGCTTTTGTACTTATGTGATTGTGGTATTATAACTTTTCACCTTCATGCACACACAGTAACTGGCGTATTGTCCTTTCTTACCTACTTTGGATAAAATCCGTCAACTTGTGTGAAAAATGTTCACATAAAGATACAAGAAACATGGCGTCCAGTCGGCCATTTTGACTTAAGTCAAGATTCGTACAGCAATCCGTTGCGTGGTATTGACAACAAGGTTAAAAGCGTTCAAGTTATGATCAAGAAGTGACGCCCCAAGACTGGCGGACAAACGGTCGAATTCACGCACCCAATTTATTACTAATACTAGTAGTAATAATGACGACGCGAATTATTATGACATAAAGCCCGGCATGTTTTTTATGATTGAACGGTAAAGGGCGCTCACACACATATACATCCGCTCTGCGATCATTAATAAATACGTGGCGTGTTGGCATAATGACAGAGTTTATTACATAGTAGAGATAAAATTGATGAAATAATTACATGGTGTATAAATCTATAGCATGGTTATGTATTTTTAATGCCACTAAATACTATATAAGTAAGTACAATTGTTGCATGGAGTATACATTTATAGCGTGGTTTAAAGGGGCACTGAACTGTAGATTTTAGAGTTAATTTCAAAATCTTAATGTAATTTTAATCAAGTCTGAATACAACTTTCCTACCAGCCTATTGCTTTTTATAACGATATTAAAAAAACATGCAAAGCAGACGACAATTGCATCGTTTCCTATTCCACTTTTTTATTAAGTCACTCCGTGCACTTTTTTCTAATCAGAATAAACATCAGAATTTGTCGTAAAATAAGAAAGAAAATAATATAAAATTGATAGTTATAAAAAGGATATAGGTTATGATGTTTTTATTGTTTGAAATTTATACATCACCTAGTAAAACAGTGTGGGGAATAATATCTGACATGAAGAGATAAATTGAGTCTGATAAATTTCTCGATATATCTGTTCACTTAAACGTCGTTAATCATGCATAAAAGAGTCAACTACGAGTGCATCGGTTTCATTCGACATCTGCACAACAAGTAATACATGACATATTGACCACACACCTTAGAGAATGATGCAGTGATTGTAGATCTATCAGGGGTAAATATCTTCTCTCCGGGGTTCTCTACACGTGTCAGGGGAGAAACTCGTCTCGTCTCTATATCTCGTCCCCTTGAGGTACGGGATCAGGAAAGTCAGTTAAGCTTTACAGTCAAATAAGACACACACAACGAAATACGTTTCAGCTCTCGTCTTAGTCGGTCAATCGAGCACTCTATAAGACACGGCGCCCTGGGGAAAAATCTCCAAGACTGTCGCAAGGCTGACCCAAGACTCTCTTAGACTGCGTCAACCTCGTCCCAAGGCTCTCCAAGACTGCTCTAGACTGCTCAGGACTGCACTCTCTCTACTCTGACTGCGTCTATCGTGCTCTCTCCCCAAGACCAACTCAAACTCTCTTTATTCATTTTCAAAACTCTAACCAATTACAAAACAGTAAAAGACTCTAGGGCGTAACCTTCAATCATAAAGCCAATCATACTAAGTACTGAATACGTCATATCTTTTGATTAATCGTTCACTACATTAATAACTACGGATATAAACTGTCAAAATGAGTAGTCTGAATAGCGGCGGCTATCTGGTAATTAGTTCCAAATCACTGAGCCAAGTTCCGTCCAAAACTTCAAATAGGCCTAACCGATGACAGACATAACACAGCAATTCAGCTAATAATCAACTAATTAAGTCGGTTAACAGATACGCAAAAACAAATTCATGACAGATCCACGTACAAACGTTTCTTTCAAAAATACATTTGAATTCCGCATAATTTGGCGGACTACCATAGGAGTTATAATATTCTCTGTGGTGGGGGTTCTTCAGATAGAAAGCCACCCAATGCAATCCACCCCTGCTACTGCCATATGTGTTTGATACGAACTCTGTGGGATACTCCAACACTGTCACGTTAGGTAGTTGGTCTTTAGCATAAATGGCAAAGAAAGCATGCACGAATTAGTCAACATAATACGATCTAGTGGATTTGTGTCCATCATAGCTAGAAATAAGTACGTTTCCGTCTCTGTAAATCTCGATAACGTTGTTGTATGCTGCATAAATAAAAATAGACACAGTCTCAATGCCTAGTCTGAAGACCTGAATTTTTTGCAACGATGAACTAACTGGCAGTGAGTTTCCCGATTAACCGACTTTTGATGTTGTTTGAAACTATTTTCATTCTTGAAAAATCTGTAACAATTTCCGCACATTTTCCATTGTGTAACCACGCAGTCACGTTGACTTCTGCAACTCAAACAACCCGTCGGAATCACGTGATTACAACGGTAAGACTTGTCATACCCAGTGCAATAGTACTTTCCTAGAAAACAGTTCATTTTTGTGATGATGTTGTAGTGTTCGTCTTTCAGAAATAGATATGTGTCTTTGGAATCCCTTACCATATGTACCTCACTTCGTTTTTACGGCCAACACATTGATATCCTGAGGTGGAAGGATGGTTGGAGGGCGAGTAGGCTTCTTAATATCTCCATATCTAGCGTTCAAAATTCAAACTAGTGTCATGGGTATTAAATTTTACCTACTTTTTTATTCACTCAAATAAAATTCGAAAATGCTTTTCACCCCTGCTATTCGATTCTCTTAACAGTTCAAAAACGAAATAAGCGATCGTCCTCTTTATGTTGATCATTAAAAAAATCAGTCTCGCTCCCCGTCATGCTCGCGTGAACAAATGGATTTTCCCGAAACTACATAAAGTGAACTTTTAAATTACATGTATGCATAATTATAATTGATTCGGAGCGACGAATGATGATTTAATACATTCTCGACCCATTGGCAGCCCTTCAGAACACGTTTCCTACACTATTTTATATATATTTAAAAAATATATTTAAAAAAGTGCTTAAAACATGATTTTGATAGTCTATAAAATATACCCGAGACAATTAGCATGAGCTGTGGAATCATTTTGATAGAATACTCTTATATACATCAATAGTCACCAACAATTTTTTCACGCTGCTCAATTAAGTTTGATTGTAACACAAAGCCGAAAAAATCGATACATGGAACAATTATCCTGGAAGTATTTCTTGCATATACAGTTGGCGTGATCAAAATAAATCACTTTATCGTCTACGCACAGGTACAGGTTGCCTGGGAACATTGAACTCGAAATCGAATCAATTTGCAAAAAAACTAAAAAACTAAATAAAAAAACGATTATGGGATGAAATATGATATACTCAAATTAGTTATAAATAAACCTGTGCATTACACTTTAAATTTCCACTGCGCAACATGCAGGTGTCATGCCTGCTGCAGAATTAAATCGGTATTACTAGATGTTTAACGACCCACGACCCACTCAATGTGAAAACTAGCTAAGTTCCCTCTTGTTTATCTACCGCTTGTTTATCTATCTTCTGCAAGATATGAACATGTATTCTATGCCGAGAACGAAATTACCGTAAACGTGAAATTATTTTATGTCAACATACGAGGATACTTTCAAAGTTATCCTACAAAACGCGGTGTTAGTTAACCTTTGGGCTAATCTGGACTGGCTCGGGAGGTTGTAAATGATTAGCTAGTTTGAATTTCTAATTTGCATAACATTACTGAGAATGAACGTGCATTCAACGCCACAAGTCTTTTGTTTTTTTAGCCAATCAGAATTCATCTTCCGAGCCAGTGCAGATCAGCAGTAACCTTTCAGTTCAGGGAGTTGACAAATACCACAAATCGAGTCAGCATCGTTTATCGCGTAACATTATCGAGTACAAAGTACATATCATTTACCTAAAGTTCACCGTCTATCACCACTGTTACGCATGAAATTTATGTAAACATTCAAAGAACAAATTCTGTAAATATTTTGCTAAATGTACACTGTGACATTTTACTGAATTAAACATATTTTGTCCTTTCCCTTTGTAAAAACAAACAAACCATTGGATGAAGCCGTTATGAAGAAGGAATCTGTAGGCAAGTTATTCAAAGCCGAGTATTTATTTACGTACACAGAGTGAGTGAGTGTATATGCGTGTTTGATCGCTCTCTACCAATCAATCATACATTTTTTGACGGGCGTGATGTCCTAATTAATTCGCGACGTCGTCATTAATCGTACATTAAAAAAAGGGTAAATGAATCGTAAATTATTTCAAACCGTATGTAATGTCATAATGTATTCACGATGTCGTCATGACTCGAACAATTAAAACAACGTAACAAATAATGAACCAGTCAAATTTAGAATAGTTTATGCTAATTTAGTCCTGAAGTCATAATTATTCAAACATACCTACAGTCTCATATAAACTACTCGCGCATAACAATTACAGCAAATACAAGTAGTCATTTAAATTTACTCAAACAAGTATATTTACCGATTATAAATGTGACGTAAAGCAATATATTTCACAACAATCTTGTGTTTATCAGTACAAATACAAAATTGTTGATACTTATTGTCTGAAACTGTTACCTTGCACACATATTAATATTATTACTTATACAAGTATATCAGTTATACTTTTGGGGGCTTTTTAAAATATTCTTATTCTTTAGCCGGTGATCTTCTATTTATGCAAGTGCCGATGTTGGAAATTGATGGCATGAAATTGGTGCAAACCAACGCTATCATTCGGTATATTGCCAGAAAATACGACATGTACGGTAAAACACTGGAACAGAAAACGAGGTGAGATCATATATTGTGTTGTTTGACTGTGTTTTGATTTGATAACGCTGTCAAACAATGACTGTCAGATAAAGGCCTGACATTGTTGTTAGTTGCCTTGGTCATAATATCCAATCGTTTCCATTCTCTATGGTAAAGTATATGCATACAGTATACATACGACGTCTCGATAAAATTTGAATTAAAAGATCATAGAGTTGTCCTGTGTCTGCGACTAGTAAGGTGGTAGACTACACATTATATTTTGACAAGTAAGCAATGTGCTTTGAAATGTTACCTATATATCTATACATGTCATAACGTCATGTCAGTGTACATGTGCTGTGGCGGTCGTTGCTCGTTGGCGAATTTTAATTTTGTATATATGTTTTTGTTAAGGATTCAGGCTCATGTTCATGTTCATCATGCACATTTTCATAATGACTAATTGACTTTCATCTCCAGATTTGTATTCATTAACCCTCTTGTTACGTTTGGTGCGGAAGTTTAATAACTTAATAATACATACAGTTGCACTGATGTTTGATATTTTCTAGTGTTTTGATACAATACTATTCTTATTTAGGATAGACGTGCTATACGACGGTGCACGTGATTTTATAATGAAATTTCTGAATATTGGATGGAACAAAAGTATGGAGGAGGATAGCAAAGATGTAAAGGAAAATGCCGTACCTAGATATCTTCCAGTACTTGAAAAGGTGCCATCTTTTTGATATCATGCATGACATTTTTAACTTCTGAATGTATTTACTAATTATAAACAAAGGTGAAGTAGGATTAGTTATGAATAGAACATTTCCCCCAAACCCACACATATTGTTAACTTACAAAAACCTCTGACACTAATAATGATACTACCACTAGGATCTTCGCTATAGTCTTTACAGTACGCTAACCTTCAATTGCAAATTGTTCTTGTTTAGCATTTACTAGAAAAGTACTCTTGCTTAGTTTCAAACAGTACCCGTCTACTAGCAAAGTACCCCTTTGTTCTATACAGTGCCCGTCACTCGTTTCTTTGTTCTCAACAAAACCCATGTACTAGGAGAGTACGGTTTGACTGAATCGTAGAGTACATTTCCCCCTCTAATGCGTATTTTTTTTAAAACAGCAACACCCAGATAGCAACATAGATGCTAATGTTAGCGTACTTGTAGCTGTACGTTAAATATCACACATACAAGAATGTTATGTATATATAGTATATCGAGAAAACACATCCACAGTATTGTCATTTTGCTTATTAAAATTCCAGTTGCTTTTGGTCATCAATAACACTGATTTTGATTATAATTACCAGTTCATATAATGTCATCAACACTGGTGTGTGTCTAGTATTTCGGCTGGACATTCTAGTCCTGACAGCATGGGAACCTTAGTTTGTCTCCGATGATCAATGTATTCATTGACATTTCTGCATATATCAGTCTCAAACAAAAAAAGATAAACTTATGTTCGTTGGGACGATATTTGTATTGTATTCATTTGAATAACCTTTCTCGAAAAAAACATTCAGCTAACAACATATTTGCCACTTGTCCTGGTATAACAAATGAGCGGGACAATATATATATCACATAAAATGGAATATTACAGTGAAAGTGGGATAATTGACAAAATTGGAACCTGTAATATTGTATATAATGAAGAAGAATGACTGAAATTAAATTAGACATATTTATCATACGTGGTAGTGCCATAGTGACTTCACAGGTATCAACTTGCAAAAATGTCTAAAAAAAGAACCACGTATTTCTGGATCATTTGATGTATTGTTTGAAAATGTCTGTATAAATTAAGAATTACAGAATGGAGCCCACAATACATATTAGATTCATATTCTACCATATATATATATACACACTTTATATTTGTTGATAATATTTATTGAACAGATATATCTGTAAAACCCAACCATTCGCTGGAGCAAATATATACATGTATATATATATTCTATTTATATATAACGAATTAATTTAATGTCAATCAATTTAAGTAAAATATATATACATATGGAAACAAGGTATTCTTGTTAATATTTCATAAATAACAAATTACCATAATATTATATACCTACACATACTGATACGATTTATATCCGCATTTCTTTAATAGGAATTGTGTGGCACCTCATCTGGTTATTTGGTTGGGGATGATCTTTCTATGGCCGATTTGGCTGTTCTGGAATCTTTGCTGTATTGCGATGATTATTTCCCTGCCGTTCTTGAAGATTATCCAAAACTGAAGGTGGGTTTCATAAAATACTACTATGAGTTAGGCACAAATATGATATTCTTATTAAGTTCTCTAGCTATCGTATTGACATTTGTACTACATGTAGTGAAACATTGTACATGATTGTTTTGATCAAATTGTCTGATAATCGAAGTTATTACCTGTACACAATTGTACATACATTTTTGCATATTACAATTGCCAGGAATTCAAAGACAGACTATCGTCCTTACCGCGAATCAGGGCGTTTCTGAATGGTCCACAGAGAAAACGAAAGCTAACAGAAGAGGATATTCTACACGGCAAAAAAGTCTTGGCCTGGCTTTACCAATAATAACGCGAGTTGGCTGCAAAGTAGACGGTTTGAAATAACATTTAATTGTAGTCAAGCCAATTTAATGTCTGTTAAATTAGTTTAATTGTCCTCGCAGTTTATTGCGATACATCGAATAAATTATCTATCTATAAACACTAATCAAAAGTGTAACACGTGCAATTATTGATGGGTTGCTTAAAATAAGATGCGACCATAACCATAAACAAA